GGCAGGAACTCAAGGCAGGAATCTAGAAGCAGGAGCTGAAGCAGAGACCATGGAAGAATGCTGCTTACTGGCTTGTCCCCCTGGCATGCTCAGCACTTCTTTTATACAGCCCAGGCCTACCTGCACAGGCATGGCATTTTTCACAGTAAACTAGGCCCTCCTACATCAACCAGCAATCAAGAAAATGCCCCACTGGACAGGCCAGTCTGATGAAGGAAATTCCTCAGTTGTGGGTCCCTCTTCCCAGGGATCTCTGGTTGTTGTCAGGTTGGCGAAAACTAAGCAACAGAGATATACAGAGCTGTCTGCTTTCTTAGGTTTAGAAAGTCATTGCTGCTGGCGAATGTTTAATTACTCACTTTCTCTCATCTGATTCTGCAGTTAGAAGATATCAAAGAAAAGAAAAAAAGAAGACTGCTGTTCATTGTTTTTAGGGTTTTTGATTTTCAGAAGGCCTCAGAGATTTTGACACTGACATCATTCCATTTTTCGTCACCCAAAAAGTGGTTTACAATGATAGATGCCTTTTTACTAACCTGCTACAGATGCATTTGACAATGTCTGATGTTAAAAAATTTAATCAACAGAAATGCTGTCATATTTTGCTTACATAATCTCAACTCAAATCTGCCTTTTTCCTTTTTGGACACTTTACTCCCATTGAAAAGTAAACTTGTTTTAAATTATTTTATTGTAATCCAAAGTAAATTAAAATGTCATGCTTAAAGCAATTTTGTAAAGAAGGAGCTTTGCTGTTAACTACATTAGTCTCTAACCACATGTGGCAATTGAACGCTTGAAATACAGCTCCTCGAATTTGAGATTTGCCCTTTGGAAAATAATGTAATTAAAAAAATTAATTGTTTTAAGTTAACATACAAAATGGTGTGTTTCATTTTGACTTTGCATGTGTCTGTGAGTGTGTGTGTGTCTGAGTGTGTGCCTCTGTGTGTTATGCTAATCCATGAACAGAAATTCTATATCCTAGTATTTTCTTTAATTTCTTTCTTCATTGTCTTAAAGTTTTCATTGGAGAAGTCTTTTCCCCTTTTGAGAAAATTTAGCCCTAGGGGTTTTTAAAGGCTATTTTGAATGTGATATTCCCCCTGATTTCTTTCCTCATAATTTCACTTTTAGTAAATAGAAACAGCACTAATTGTCATGTATGGACTTTATAACCTGCTCCTTTCCCAAAAGCATATGTCAAATGTGAGAGTTTTTCTGATGGGGCATTTCAAGTCCTTTAAATAGAAGATTGTGGAATCCGTAGATATTTGTATTACTTTTATGCTGATCTCCTTCTTACTGCTCTAGCTAAAAATTTGAGCATGATGTAGAGAATGACCATCTTCGTCTCATTCCCAATTTTAGAGAAATGCTTTCAATTTTTCCCCATTTAGTATAATGTTGGCTATAGGTTTGTCACGTGTCGCCTTCATTATGTTGACATATTTTCCTTCTATTTTTATTTTCTTCAGACCTTGTATCAGTGAGACGTTGAACTTTGTCAAGGCCTTTTCTATGGCTATTGAGATGGTTTTGTGATTTCTGTCCTTAGGTGGATTTGTGTTGTCACATTACAGGTTTTGATTTGTGCATGTTGAACCAACCCTGTACCCCTGGTATGAAACCAAATCGGTCATGATATATGATCTTCTTAATACGTTCTTGAATTCAACTTGCCAAGATTTTGGGGGGGGGCTGGATTTTCGCATCTCTGTTCATCAGGGAATCTTGTTTATAGTTTTCCCTTTTGGTTATACCCTTAAGTTCTTTTGATATCAGGGAAATACTGGCTTCACAGAACATGTTTGTAGGTTTGCTCTCCACTTTGTGGAAGTTTGAGGAATATTGGTATTAACTCCTCCTGAAAGGTTTACTATAGTTTGGCAGTAAATTCATCCACTTGTGGGCTTTTCCTTGTGGGGAGACTTAATTACTGCTTCAGTCTCATTCCATGTTATGGGTCTATTAAATGCTTTTATTTGTTTTCCCCTCCTACAACTCTAGGCACTGAGTTTTCCACTAAGTACTCTTCTCCTATCTCTTTTTATTATCCCTAGTGTTGACATTTTATTTATTTTTATTTTTAATATTTTATTGCATGTTTGTACATTTCATATAATAGATCTTAATGAAATTTAGACCCCCCCTCCTCTATCCGCATCCTTCATGGCCCCCCACCAGATTTCATGCATTCTGTCATATATGTTAAAGCCTATAGGGTCAAGCATTTGTATCCTGATAGCCCTCGGTGCATGTTCATCCACTGGAGTCTAGTCAATCTATCTAGAGTCACTCCCTGACATTTTAAAATGTACCATTACATAGTGTTTCTTATGGCTAAACCATATAGGAAGGCAGAAGCACAGAGCCCCTTGTCACAGTTAAATGAAAAGGCAGGCCAACTGACATTTTTCACATAGTGTAATTTGTCTTAAGCTCCATGCTTTTGTGGTCCCACCTTGGTCATCTTCCAGCCTTGGTCCTCTCTAGAGGGCCAGGAACCCATGGAGACAATATCTCCTCTCCTGCTAGACTATACTCCAGGTAGCTAATGCCTCTAACTAGTTTTGAGACTACTTCTAGGTCCTACAGTCTGTTCTTGGGATGGGCCATCCTTAGGAAGTCTATCTTACCAGACATAAGTGTGATTACGTGTCTGAAATAGGACCTAGGGCCTGGTCTAGTATGTAGGCTGGGGCCCAGAGGGTGACCAGGAGTGTGAAAGAAGGTCCACATCATGAGCAGAAGGTCTTTAGCAGTCTGAATGGTCTAAACTCCATTCTGGCCTCTGGCCATTATTAAGATACATGAAAAAAAGAAAAGTTACTGTATTAAAAATGTTTTATTGGTTGGTTTAAATGTAAATTTCCCCAACTGAGCTCCTGTTCTGATCTCAGCTAATTGTCTCCTTAGCCAGACCAAGCAAATGTTGGTGCTGTTAACCCCTTTCTCTCCCTCACAGTATACCATCCTTTCTTGTCTGAGCACAGTGACTCCATGATTTTGAAAATGGCTGCCTTCAGAAGCCCTTGTTGGCATACAGCCACCATGGACCATGTCCCTTCTCACTCAACCCCACCCCATTCTCCTTGTCTGAGTGTTCATACAGAAAGCTTCTCAAAAGTTCTTCTCCCCCTCCCTTAAGGCCCGTTTAGGGGTCATCAGCTTTGTCAGCCATGCTTGTTTGGAGGCCTTTTGTGTGCAAGGCAAACTCTTAAGAATATTTTGCTCTCGTGACAGCTTTCAGTCTGGGTTGTCAGTATTCTATTTCCCTTCATCCCCCATTTCCTAGACAAAGTGAGTTGGACAACAGGAAGAGCTTTATTGAATTTATTTCCTTTGCATGCATAAAATGCTAAGAAAGTGAAAAGAGACTGAAAACATATCAGAATACATTCCTAGGCATTGCAAAAAACCAAACCTTATCGTTAAAAATTGAGCCTTGTTAGTAGTGGAAGAGATATAATTAATGGGAGTTCTCATAGTGAGCACATCCTAATGGAGGTGCAGTCAAAAATGGGGAAGGGTGCTGTTAGGGTTAATCTACTGGAGTTACTCCTATGTTAGAAACATCTATTTAAATGAGCTATTCACTATGGGACCAAACAGGGAATGGAAATTCAATCAATTAAAAACTTAACATTATCAAAAAAGCAAAGCTACAGTATCAGAATAAGTGAATGCTTTACAAAGTAAATGGACAATCCAGCATGTGGCTTACAGTATGTTATTGTACCATCATCAGCAAAACTCAGCATCAACTATTTAAATTAGCTTGAGAATCCCATTGGTTTTCTAGACAACTTTTTTACATGGGGCCTCATCCTGCTCAGAATATAAAGCCACAGAAAGATGTCCAAGGCTGCATTTCTGTTTAAGCAAAGAAGGCACAAAGTGAGGGAAGTAGATATTCTTTAGTTTCTAAGTAAATGAACTAGGTTTAGTGTTAAGGCAGCTAAAAGGAGCTCTCTCTTAATGTTTGCTGGACTCAAGGATTAAAATAAATGGGTAGGATTTGAAAATGGAAGGGGGACCACCAGGGGTAGGAGGGGTTAAGTAGGGATGGGGGATGGGAGACAGAGATGGGGGAAAGGAGAGGGCCAGGTGCAGGTTGAACAAAAACTAAGTATGTATGAAAATGTCATAAAGAAACCTGCTGCCTTTAAGCTAATTTTTAAAACTTTTAGGGCTAAGCATGGTGTTGGATACCTTTAATCCCAACACTTGGGAGGCAAAGGCAGGCAGCTGTCTGTGAGATAAAGGCAAGCCTGGTCTACATAGGGAGTTCCATGCCAGCTGGAGCTACAAGGAGACCATATCTCAAAAAAAAATTTTTTAAAGAAAAAAATTGATTAAATGAAAAGGATATTTAACTTCTGGTGAACGTGACTGATACTCCAGGGCCCCTATACTTTGGATCCTGGCTTCTTTATTTCTGGCTTGAGAACCATATAGAGTAGTAGAATAACATGCAAACAATGATCTTCCCATAGGGAGTCAGTGACAGGTAGGACGGGCACATGCTACTATCACCCAAGTTAAAAGCACTGGGGTGTCACCAGGGATATGTGGAAGCTGTTTCAAGGGGTAGTGGGCTGATGAGTGGATTACTTGTACAAAATTTTTCTTACAAACCTAGAATTGACCCTTTCATTGTACCTTCTCCAAGCCTTTGCAAAACTTGGCTCTTCAACCACATAATTCAGCATTTATTTAGGCCTATAAAACATAAAAGCCAATCTCTAGGCTAAATCACTTGACTCCTCATTAAAATTAATTTATTGGGTTGGGATAAAAATGTTTTAGTTGCTGTAGCAAAATATGATTGCTGTCTTCCTTCTAAGGCACATTGACTAAAGTTAATGAATTCACATTCTACAGCACAGTTTTAATGGTGAAAATGCTGGATTTGAGGATGTTGGCAGTGTCTATACAAAAAGATATTTATGGCTTTTATTTTACTCAGATAATTAAAAGTGTTAAGTCCTATATCCAAGATTATTTTACTTAATAAAAACTGGTCCTAGTAAAGATTATTACATGAGATTACCATAGCTATTTGCAGTTATCACTGAAAATAGGATGCTCCACCCAAAAGCTACTTATTGCATGATCTCTGCTATGTGGCTCCATGCCTTGGCTTTCTTCTGGGCCATGGAGAACCAGACAGGCTCCTCAGGCTGTTGGAATCTGGGTGGAAGATTTAAAGATCTCTTGGTATCTCTTTCCCCAGTAAATGGGCTGCGAAGCATCCTCTGATCTTGAAATGCAACTGGAATCACAGCAAATAACACAAATAAGAAACCCCAGAGGTGCTAGAGTATGTTTAAAAGATAAAATGACATTCACCATGTTTTCACGTTTCCTCTGATCACCCAGCCCTTATTACTTTCTAACTCCTGATCTCTGGAAGTCAGGCTTCTAAAAGTCAGTGCATGGGTAATGTCGTAATCAGTATGTCACAGGGGTAAAATCAGCACGGATGTGGCTACAAACATGGGACGGGCTGAGACATAAATCTTGTAGTTGTAACATTCAATCTTTTGATGGTTATTATTTGATTATCTTTCACTTTAAAATTGTTTTGAATTTTAAAATTTTTATTCCATGGGTATGAGTGTTTTGCCTGCATGTATGTAAGTGCACCCATGTTGCACAATGCCCAGGGAGGCCAGAAGAGGGACTTAGATTCCCTGAAACTGAAGTTACAGATGGTTGTGAGCCACCTTGAGGGTGCTGAGGACTGAACCTAAGTCCTCTGAAAGAGCAGCCAGTGCTCTTAACCACTGAACCATGTCTCTAGCTCTAATTTTCTGACACTTTCCAACTCAGACTAAAAGGGAAACGTACTGTATCTATTCATTTTTATAAATTTCAAATTTTTTTGCCAATCTATGATATTGTATGACATTAAATGACTGAATATTCAATAGATCCACCTTATAAAAGTCCATGCTAAACAATATTATGCCTACTACCCTTGCCTAACAGACTGCTCTATTTCCCAACTCCACTCCCTCCTTCATCGTATTATATGGTTTATTAACTCAGTGGCTTAGAGTAAACCAGTGCCTTTCCATTCTAGTTACACATTAGAATTACCCAGGGCTCTTTTAAAAATGCCAATGTATCTGGGTATGGTGGCACATACCTATAATCCCAGTTTTTGGGAGGCTGAAACAGGAGGATCAGGAGTTTGATGCTCTTACTTGGCCTACATAGCCAAACAACAACAGCCACGTCAATGAAAAACCACAAACACAAAAGAGCAATGCTCATGGCATTCTTGGAACCAACTGAATTAGAATCAGTAGGGATGGGAGCAGGGCCACCTGTCGTTTTTACAAGCTTACTGGTGATTCTGATGTTTAGGAGAGTTGAGAACCACGTGACAGGAGTATATTGCCCATGAGGCATGGAACAGGATAATGGTTGCTGTTTCGTGGACAAACAATGGGTTCCTGAGTTTCTAAGTCTAATTTCTTTGTGAAGGTGATTGATGGAGAAGACAAGGTTAAATGTAAATCCATCTGCTTTTCTTTCTGCCCCTGATGAGAACATCCTTCTGGCATACAACTCTCACTGATGAGGTCACATTCTTTTGTTTAGAATGTAAAATTCATCTTTTATTGTACTTTATCATGACTATGTCCACCCAGAAGTCCATCCTATTTTTGACTGTGCATGTCAGACAGTAGTTGACATTGGTATATTACCCTTGGAAATAGTCAAGCACGCATCTTGATGTGGTCATAGTCTATTATATCCTGTTAATTTTTTTCAACTGTCCATATTTCCCCACACGTCACATGCCTGCTCAGAATATGGAGGGTGTGAAACAAGACTTTTAAATAGTTAAAAAATGATTCAATGGTATTGGGCCTTGAGAGTGGATATTTTTAACAGTTTCATTGAGGATATAGTAGGTAAGAAAACACTGCTTTGCTGGAAAGTAACTTGTCACTTTCCTATTGCATACCTAGCCACAGACTGTTTAAGGGAATGACCACAGTTTTGTGCCTTGACAATTTCTTCAGTGAAGTGAAAGACTAGAAATGCCTCTAGATATTTCCCACTGGACTTACATTAGTTATAACAATTAGATTTTCCTAAAATGACCTAATACCTATTTTTTCTCATGGGACACAAGAAACTCATGAAACTGATTTATATAATAAGAGAAATGTATTAACTTATCTTGAAACCACAAAAGTTTCACAAAATTCCTCCAGGGCTATTTTTGGTGGATCAGAATTTATGCCTTTACCTGATATTTCAGATTTAGGCTGCTTTGTCTGTAGCCTATCCTGTGCAGGGACAGAGGAAGAAAATCTTCTTGGTAGGTCTTCAATTTCCTGTAATACAAAATGAAAGTGAAACCCTTGTAAGTTCTGACAATAAAGACAGCAAATTACTTAGGTGATCACATGGTGCAAGCCCTGCCCTGGGTACTATATGGTCAACAGTAATAATAATAATAAGATAAACAATGTACATATAGATATTGATGCAGAAGTACATCTAGATAGAAGTATATAGATATAGATTATATATCACTGTACAAGAAAGGGCAGCAATAGAGTTCTTTGGCTTTGGAATGTATTATTATTAACAAAATCTAAGTTGGCTCAAGTTTAACACCTTTTAGACTTGGAAGAAAAGGTTGTGTAATTATACGAATGGTATAAATAAAATAATTATTTAGATTGAGCACAATCGTCTCCAGCATTCTACCACCACCTAACAGTAAGCTAACAGAATGTGATAGTTAAGGACAAATACGATCAGTTCACTGAAGTAAGCTCTGTAGGATTTCTGCTTTCTACTTGTCGCTATATCAGTCACCTTCACAAAGAAGTGCTTTTTCCATTAGGAAACGACATAACTGTAGGTCTTTAAAAAATATTTTCTTTTAATTATTTTTATTTTACATGTATGAGTGTATCGCACCCATGTCATGAAATGCCCATGGAGGGCAGTGGATCCACTGAAACTGGAGTTAAAGAGAGTTGTTAGCTGCCATGTAGGTGCTGGGAATCAAATCCGGGTCCTCTGTAAAAGTAATAACCACTGAGCCATTTTCCCTGCCCAGAACTGTAGGTCTTTAAAACCTTTTTATAATTTAGGCCTTTTTAAAATTTTTATTTGTTTATTTATTTGTTTATTTATTTATTTATTTATTTATTTTTTACACCCACTTCCCAGACAGCACCCTCCTATAGCCTCCCTGCCCCCACTAGATCCCTTATACTCTGATATCCCTGCTACTGTCTGCTGTGTTGTCAGCACCCCCAGTCATTCCCCACTACTTACCCTTCTCGTGAATCTAGTCAGCCTATCTAGAGGGCTTTGTTTTAGGAGGGTCAGCTGTTCCTCATCTAGCGGTAATAAGTTGTCAATATTCCTTTGGATAAGATTGGGGTCTGCTGTTCATTTTCCCAGATCTGTGCTGGGTTACTATCTGGGAATCCCTTTGGCCGCCCGGCCAACAACTCAAAAGAAAGTATCGCCTGTCTGGCATTGTTGCTTGTTATGTTGCCTTTAGGTATACATATGGTCTCTTATGAAATTATATTGGCCCCTTTAATCTTTGGTTATACTTTCCTTTTTGGTGTTTAAGGCCATACATTTGGTCCAGATAAACCGATTTATTTTTACTCTTAAGGTCATTTGAGGATCTGTTCCTCAGGGGTCACATGGGCTTGGGAGGAGCCCCTGGCTCCTTTCTTTTACCAGTTCTGCCTATGTGAAGATAAGTCAAAGGTCCTGCTCAACCATGGTTGGCTTCACTTGGAAGCATGAAGGAAATGATTCCTCTGTGTTGACCCTCCTCTTTATAGACTGGACACTGGTTCAAGTCCATCTGGTGGGGTCTCCTCGGCCTCCTTGATCAAGAGGACAGGTGACCGACCACCATTATAGGACATTTTGAGAGATTCTCATAGTTCCCTGGAACTAGTCGACCTAGGAGGGCAAGGAGCAAAAAGTGTCCTTTATGTCCCTCTGACCAAATTATTATATCTACATGACAAACAGTAATTAAAAATACCAGACTGGCGGAACTAACCTTGGGTGTTTAACAGACATACTTTGAGGCCTATAATAATTTAGGCCTTTTAAATTAACCTCTACACAATTATTTCAAATCAATGAGTTTATACATACTAGGGTTATTTTCCCCCTGACATAAGATTTAACTAAATTGGACTTTACCCTTTTATGATCTCTCTTTCACTTAAATACCAATGATATAAAAGAAAAGATCCTTAAAGCAAAAAGTTAAATTAATCCACAATTCCCTCAATAAATTTAGTAAACACTTAAAATTCTAGACCCTTATGTGTGTGTGTGTGTGTGTGTGTGTATGTATGTGTGTGTAAATTTAATGTTTTCTTGAGTCAGTTTTTTGTAGTTTTTCTAAGAAGAAAGCAAGGCATCATTCCATGCTCTCTGATCCACATCTAGTCTATTATGTAACATTTAAAAACTTATGAGTAGGTGCTAAACTAAACCAAATCAATATATAAAAATACAGACATCAACACATAAATGTAAATATTTAGGGACTGATATGGAAAAACATTCATAAATGAAATGTTGGATGAAAAGAAACTACGTGGTCACCATTTCTCCACGGTTTCACTTTCCAGATTTAGTTATCCATGGTCAGCCACAACGCAAGAATATTAAATGGAAAGTTCAACAAATAAACAATTAACAAATTGAGCACTATTCTATCCCATACCCATTGTGTTGTGAGTCATCTTGTCCAGCATCCCGACACTGTGTATCCTAATGCTACCTGTCTGTTACTTAGCTGTCTTAAGTATCTGATGGCCTGTGATGGTATCAGACTACTTGTGTTAAAATAACCATTATTTATCTTAGTAATGGCCCTGGAAAGTGCAGGAGTACTGATGCTGGCCATCACAAAACAAGAGAGAGGACCTATAAAATGCTTCCATTAGTTGAACAGGCAAAAATTCTCTACATACTAAGGAAAGAAAAAAAAATCTTGTACTAAAGTTGCTAAAATCTATGATAAGAACAAATCTTCTAATTTTGAAATTGGGAAGAATGCTGGTTTTGAAGCTCAGATTTGAAAAACTACAACCACAGTGCATAAGTGTTTAATAATTCATTACTATATGCAGTTATACACAGCCACAGGAACTCTTGTAATGTATCCTCTGCGGTTACAGGGACCTACTATATTTATATATTTATAGTTTGATTTAAAGTTATAAAAATCATATGCACATACTTATAGGCATAGTCATTCAATTTTTATCCCAGTGGTTATCTTTATTCTTTTCTGTTACTGGTTTTTATGGTGGTGGTAAAAATTAGGACCCTTCCTTCCTTCCTTGCTCCCAAACAGAGAGGGCAGCATGTAGCTGGCATATGTCTGGCATTGCTGCAATGGAACTTAGTGACTCCACCAACCTTTTCTAGTGCTTGCAGGGTTAGCTCATATGCTACCTCACATCTAGGTTCCTTGGTCTCAGCCCTGGCTTCAGCTCTGCTCCTAGGTCTTTCCCCATAGCTCCTCTGCTTCTGTTTTGCCATGGATATCCAAGATGGTTCTGTAGTGGTATAATCTGACTTTGATCCAGGGGGCTTTCCTGAGAAAGGAATGAAAGAAATTAGAACCGAGGCAAGGCAGGAATGGTCTTCAGTTTGGTTGGAGTTTGCCCATAATAATGTTCTAAATAAACAGGACCCTTGTTCATTGTAAAACCAAAAAGAAAAGAAAAAAGTACCAATTAAAGAAGGGCTATTCTCTTTTGTACCCATCCTACAACCTGGAAAGCCAGTAGTTCCTTGAATAGTTAAGTAACCATACATAAAAGTGGGCATACTGTCCCTTAGTGAACCCTTTACTTCCTTTATCTGTCCCTCTTCCCATCTCCAAATCAGAGCAAGACAATAGTTGACAGGTGGGCTGAGAAATTTCCCAAGAGGTTAGAGGCTCAGACCATTAATGTAATTCATCCAACTTTAAGGAAAATCATATAGAATTTGTTACTTTTTTATCCCTCATGAAAGTGTGTGGTGGTGTAGTGATATAAGTGTGATCAGAGGTACAGACAAGATTGTATGTGGACAGAAGTGAAGGTTCAAAGGTGTTAGGAGAGAGTAATACTCAAAAGTCCACTTTGCTCTGGATTCTTAGGCATTTAAGGAGGCATTTAAGGTGAATGAAGCCAGGAAAGTACACGTATTTACAGTAAATTGAGATCTTTAGGCTAAGAGTATGAACATACTGTTTTTAATGAGCCAGATTTTAGTGATGCATGTGCTTGTTAAAAGGGACATAATAGCAGGAAAATTATTTTGAGGAAAGCACAAGATTCCGCCCAAAAGTATTATGTATATCAGACAGATGGAGAAGGAAGGGGAGATGATCATGTGCCTATTAATGGGAAGTAAACAGATATTCTGACTGGTGCTTCTGTGGGAAAAGGAAGATTCAAAATGAGTTACCTCCAAATCTATTAATGCAGAATGGGGCACCATCCCACCTCCAAATTCACAAACCAGGCCTATCAAAGTAACAGTGCAGTTGGAAGGCTAAAATAGACTTCAAGGCCCATCTATTCTAAGGCTTTGCCTTAGAGTTCTTCCCTCTAATTGGTACCTATTTGCCATCTGGAGAGACAGAACTCTCACCTGGAAGCCTGTAAACTCCTTGCTTCTTGACACTGCCTTCTGGTTTGAGTCTGCCCTGCAGCTTTTCGGCAAAGCTATCTGTTGAGCTGGGCTTCTCCAAGGTTCCATGGAACCCTTGGGAAGAACTTTTTCTCATGCTCTGTTCTTTGTTTATTAAGGATAAAATTGGGCCAAAGGGCACCGAAGGAGGTGGGGTTACATCTTCTGTTTTCTCATAACCTTTCTCACTCTTCCGTGGGAGGACTGGTCTCAGTCGGACTCCAAAGACATTTTCTATATCAGCTTTGCTGGTGCTTAGGATTGGAGGACTCTTATCTCCATTAGGACTCTTAGGAACTTCCTCCTTAAAGTAAATGTCCCTAGAAATAGATGCTTTCTGGGTAGGAACAGCAGTGAATTTGCCAGGTTTGATAGTAGAAGTTGGGGTGCTCTTAATGAGCTCTTCAAAGGCTTGGATGCGTTCCTTGGTTTTCTTTGGAGAAGCTGAGCTTTTTGGCATGTACCTGCTACCACTACCCTTCTCAGAAGTGGTTCCTTCAGCAGCAGCACTGGTGGAACTTGGAAAAACATGTTGCTTATGATACTCAGAGATTCTGAAAGCCTGAGTAGGCTGACTGGGAGTCAGATGCTCCTCAGGAGGGCTCCATTCCACAGGAACATTCACAGAGGCTGCTGATAAAATGGGTGGCTGCAATTCAGACACATTTAAGGCTTGAAAAGGCTGTGTGGAAGGCAGCTGTCCTTCAGCTCTCTTCCAATCTTCAGGATAACTGACAGAAAGTGAGGCTTCCTGCCTGTACTCAAGCATCTCCAATGGCTGGGAGAGCTCCCTCGCAGACATCTGACCTTTTGAACTGCTCCACTTCACAGGGACACTCTTGGAATACGACAGAGCTTCTTCTGGCTCTTCAGGCCTTCCAGATGACTGGAAAGGATGCTTCATAGGCAGTTTCTTCAAAAGAATGTCTCCTTTGGAATCATCACCCCAGTGAGATAAGAATTCTTGCTCCTCACGTTTAGGCTTTATCAAACCTTTGGGAGGGTGACTTTGAGGCAGAGGTTTTGCATAAATGGCCGTGTCCTCGGGAGGGCTCTCTGAAAAGATTTGCTCTGCCATAAACTTCACATATGTCTTGGAAGGAGCTTTAGTAAGCTGTGGTTTTTTAGAGCTGTCTTTTTGAGCAGTGGCATTCTCTAGACGTGCGGTCAGCTCTTGAACTTTCGATCTCATTAAGAATGGGGTGGGACATTTGGGGGGAAGCGGCTTCCAAGAACTGCTTCCCTTAATAGCAGAACCCTCAAAACTTGAGGCTATTTTAAGGACTTTATGTTTGATAATGGCTTGGGAGGGATGTCTGGAAAGCTGCACCTCCCTAGAAATGCCCTCTTCTGTGGCAACACCCTCTGGATTTGAAAAGTGTTTCTGCTCAAATTCAGGACCCAGGCATAGCTGAGAAGGGTATTTTGAAGGCATTGGCCCCACAGGACCACTCCATTCTCCAGAAGCTCTCATTGAACCTGGGGCAACTTCTTTGGCTTCTGAACTCATTGGGGGCTGAGAATGATGTCTGCGTGGCCTCAGCTTCACAGACGTGCTGTCCTCTGCTATATAGTTCTCTGGATCTGCAGATACTCCCTCCTTGAACATAGGGATTCCTCTTGACTGTGAAGGGAATCTGGAAGACATTGGTTCCACAGAGCGTCTCTGCGGTGCAGAAGTACTCACTGACTTTTCAGAGACTGGTTGCTTGATTACTGATCCCATCAAGAGCTTAGGGGGAATTCTGGGAAGTAATGAAGTGTCTGGGGAGTCAGAGATTTGCTCAAATGTAGGGGTTGGCCTTGGCTGTGAAGGGCATCTGGGAGGAACTGGCTGCACAGAAATGTTCTCCTCAGCCTCGGAGCTTTCTGTAACTGCAGAGACGTGTTTAAATTTATGGGCAGAGGTGCTCATTGAATCTTTGGTCATCTGCAGCTGGGATTTGGTCTTCACTAAAGGCTGAGAAGGAGACAGCGGTTCCATCAGAGTAGCATCTTCAACAGAGGTGCTTTCTGAGATTTCTTGGCCTTGAGGATTTGGTAAGGCCTGGGAAGAAGGCAATGGGTTTGTGGAAATGACCTTCGCAGCAATGCTCTCATATTCTGAAGACACACTTTGGTAAACTTTAGGTTGTATCATAGACTGAGAAAGATGAGAGAGCAGAGGCTCCATAGAGCTGTCCTCTTCAACAGCTATGCTTTCTGGCAATGAAGGCAGCGGTTGATTTGCTTGATGTTTCACCCATGGCTTGAAAAGATGTGCATGAGGCCTTGGATCCAGAGAAATACCTCTCTCAGAAGCAGATTTCTGATACGGAGGATGTTTCTTAGAAGACAAGGGCTCCATAGGAACACTTTTCTTAAGTGCAGCACTTTCTGCACCCAAAGATACTTCTTTGATTTTGGGTCTCACTGAGGGTTGGGGAGAATATCTGGGAGGCTGGGTATCAAGGCTTTCCTCAACAATAGCAATCTCTGGGCCTGAAGAGACTTCTTGCTCAAATATTGGTCTGGTTGGAGGCTGAGAATGATGTTGGGGAGGTGGTGCCTCCATAGAAACAATTTCTTCCATGGTTGTGCTGTTTGGATTTGAGATGTCCTGCTCAACTTTGCACCTTATTAGGTGCTTAGAAATCTTTCTGGGAAGCACTGGCTGCATAAAAGTGTTTCCATCATCAGCCATGCTCTCTGGATCTGCAAAGGCCTCACGTTCAGATTTAGGATTCATCCATGACTTCACAGTGTGGCTGGGTGGCACTGGCTCCACAGCTTGGCTCTCTCCTGTAGAAATGCTCCTTGAAGTAGAGGCTTGCTGCTGAATAGTAGGACTCACGGTGGGTGGAGAAGGGTATCCGGAAGGCTTCATCTTGCCAGAAACACTCCACTTTTTTGAAGTGCTCTTGGAAACCAAGGACACTTTGTTTTGGCCTCTGTGCTTAGGCTGCTTAGGGTGCTCAAGAGGCTGATCTCCCTCTGAGCTGCTCATATCCTCAGAACTTTTGTACTTCTCAATGTAACTACTTGATTTGGTGGAGACTTCTTTTTCTTCAAACCCCTGTAAGGCCTGGAAATGGCTTTTGGGGGCCAGCTGGTCTTCAGGGACAGAAGCCATGATAAAACGTTTTGAGTCTGAGCATTCTTCAAACTCCAAGGACTGGGAAGAGTGACCAGATGTCACTTCTGCAGAACTTTTGTGCTCTTCTGAAGAACTTCGGGGATCTGAGGAGGCTTCTTCAGTTTTAGGTTTTCCTACGAACTGGGAAGAATATTCAAGAGGCACCTGCTGCTCTATATTGCTCAGTACCGTATCTAAACTTCTTGTTTTAAGGAGGATTTCTTTATCTTTAGGCTTCCGCGTGGCTTGGGAAGACTGTCCAGGAACCAGCAGTACCTCAGAACTACTCTCGTACTCTGAAGTACTCTTCGACTCTGAGGAGGCTTCCTTTTCTTTAGACTGTGTCAAGGACTGGGAAAAGGTTCTCTGAGGCCACCTCTTCATGGAAACTTTACCTTGTGCTGTAGTACTTGTCATTCTGGAAGCACTTCTTGGAAAGGTCTGTAAAACATTTCTGTGATGCTTTTCTTTGTATACACTTGGGGCATCCAAGGCTAACTCCTTTCTAGAGTGAAATTTGTGCAAACCAGGTCTGGATGGTTCTTCCTCTTCTGACGAGATATTAGAAGGATGCATATGAAGCTGGGCCTCTGCCGCCCTTGAGACTGTGGTCTCTTCCTGGGTTGTACGACTTCCTGCCCATGGCAAGAAATAAGCTTTATCTTTTATCTTCTTGGTTCCAGAAGCCTCATCTCCATGGTGTGGTGGTGGAACACTCGCCATGGACCCTTCCACATCTTGAGGGATAGGTTGTGCTGCTGATCCTCTTTTGGTTTCTAAATCTGCCCTTTTTCTTTCAATATCTCTTTTATCTGAAAACACCTTCTGAGAAGCAGTGGTTTCTGCCTCTGGAGCTGTGAGCTGCCCTGTGACTTGCTTTTCCATTACATGTTCCATGGAAGAGTGCTCCCCAGAAGCCTTCATTTCGGTAGGTGTGAACTTAGCTTTAGGACCCATATCATGCATTTGAGTGGACTGTGAGAGGCCTCTTTCTATGTATCCCCACTCATCTTTTGTCCTTCTATGTCTTCTGCCATTTCCTTCTAAAATTGAGTACTCTGTGCTTATGGCAACATGTGTAGTTGGAGCCTGATCATGTGTTCTCTTTTCCTGACTCGCAGTTTTGCTGCTCTGCTCCTGGTTTGAGGTTCCTGTGGAAAATACGAAAAGGAAAGGAGAAATGCATGTGCTTTAGCCTTCCTGAAAGAAGGAGACTCTTCCCTGACTATGTTTGCTACCTAATTCCCTATTATGAAGAAGCATCAGCTATGCAGTAGAGAGAGTGATACACATGCAAACCAGTTCTTTGAATATATGCAAAGCAATACTTTGAACACCAGCAATTGCATCAAGTCCAGCACATGGTAGGTAGCAGGGGTATAGACTGCTGCTTTCTCTTTTTAATTCCATCTCCAGGTGGCAGACCCCCTGTGGCTTTTCTTCCCTCAACAGTCATTCAATCTCTAGCTCCACCTAGTGGTTTCATATGCAGCCTACAGCACTGAGAAGAGCTGGTTATGTTCTGACTCAGGCCCTTTTTGTGGAACACCATCCAAGGTATGTGCCCCTATGGGTATTGACTCAGTTTTGTGTATGAAAGACACAAGTATAAAAATATAGATTACAGGGCTAAACAGATGGTTCCGTGGTTAAAAGCACTGACTGCTCTTGCAAAGTACCCGGGGTTTTGATTCCCAGCATCCACGTGGTGGCTACGAACTGTCCTTAACTCCAGTTCCAGGGGAATCCAACGCCCTCTTCTGACCTCTGTGGCATTGCATGACATGAGATTACTTTCTTAGTCTATCTTCCTTTCTCCCTCCCCGCTTCTCTTCCTTCTTTGCAAGTTTTGTGGGGGGGGTGTTTTCCTTGGGAAAATGTGTTTAAGGATACCCTGTCTCTGAACCCACATGTAAAATCATTTGTGACAAAACTCTGAAATAACTGCTCAAATTAATTGATGGAACCAAAAGTTTATTTTATAAAGTATTGCATGAAATTAGCTTGCAGTTAGATGAAGTCAAAATCCACCTGTGCACACATACAAACACACAAATTTTTCACTGTAGTGGCATTTGTTTGGAAATTGGATAGATGGTAGCTGCCAAGAACACCTGGCTGCAGTAGTGCAGAGCCCTTGTAGCCATGGATATGGGAACCGGTCTCACTGGGAATACAAAAGCACTTGCTCTGTATTGGAAGAGAAAGGTAACATCTACTAAAAAAATTTTTTTTGGCCAATCCGGTTATTCCTTTCTTATTCTGTTGTTGAATTTGAAGAATGATGAATGGCACCTCACTAGCTGCATTCACACCTCTGGGCTTAGGGCAGAATTCATCATGTACATTAATCTGAAAGGACTGAACACATTTACAAACAACACCTCTCTGGTTAGAAATGCATTTAGATAGGAAACAAACCCATGTGTGATCTTTCTCTAAATCCTACACAAGTATTAATTTGCCAATTTAGATAAAGAATCCTGGACTACACTTGTGTGCATCTTAAGTTGAAAGCCCTAAGAGGATCACGGGCAGCAGACCTGGGGCCTTCTTGTCTGTAGCTCCTGCCACACTGCTCTGTGCAGTGAAGCCTGTGATACACGTTTCTGAGTGACAGTGAAGATGTACCAACCTGTGCCATCTCTTTTCTTCTCCTTTTGGTCAGCCTGTTTTGACTTGGTTGTAGCCTTTTCTTTAGAAATCCCTGGAAGGTGTGGTTCTTCCTGCTTTGATTTCACCTAAAACAAAGGTGTTTTGTTTTAAGAGCTTGAATCTAACAGACGTGCTCCTCAGGGGTCCTTGGAGAAAAGCTCATTCATGCTAGGTTAATAACAATACCTATGAAGACGGAAATTATTTCCAAAGACATCCATCAAGAGGACCGTGGGGGATCATTTACCTATTGGAAGTGATTCATCCAGATCTGGAGTTCCTATTCTCCAAAGACATGCTATAGGATCACTCTAAAACACTTCTGAATCCCACTGGAAGGCCATAAGTCTGAAAATGAGGCTTCTGGGCCTGACAATAATCATGCATCTTGGCAACATTAAAATCTTCAGGTTTACTCCTTTGGACCATGAACCATATTCAAATTTTATTTGGCTTATTTTCAGGAAATTTAGTGAAAGCGTGAATTACATATGCCTTTCTCCAGCTCAAGAGAACAAATTGCACTGGGGTCTTTTTGGGTGGGAAGATGGAAAAAAGATGAAAGACCCCTACACTGGTTTAGTAGGGAACAGAGTTTTCTTATTATTATAGTGATGCTCTGGGAATAGCAGAGTAGCTGCACACTGCAGTGTTGGGAATATGCTTAGCATGAGTCCTTATGACAAACATCTAAAGGCTAAAATAAACTTCTTTAAACTTCCATTCAAAATGTTTGTGCAGGGGCTAAAGAGATGGCTCAGTGGTTAGGAGCACTGGTTGCTCTTGCAGAGGACCCGGGTTTGAGTCCAGCTCCAGGGGATCCGATGCCCTCTTCTGACCTCTGCAGATATTGAGCAACATGGGTGCACTTATATACATGCAGGCAATACACTCATGCACCTAAAAATAATAAATATTTTTAAATACCTGTGCAAACAAACGTGGCTCAAATCATTTAATTTTGAGTAAATGAGGTCAGATGAAACTAGAACCAGATTCAAATCTCTTCCCTATTATTTACCATTTGGGTGACTTTGGACAAGTTGTTCTCTAACACTCTGTATCTACATCCTTAATATCATGAATCAAGGTCAGGACTCTTGTGAGATTTTCAGGAAGAAAGTAGTGGTGGTCCTTGTACCATGAAGAATTCCAGGTGTATTTATATGCATTCATGTGGCAGGGACAGAGTCACAGGGACAAAGTAGATGTTCTGGCCTTCTCAGAAGGTGCTGCTCAGACCTTTGCTCAAGTAGGCTATGTAGAAAGCAGAATTCCAGAAGGGTTATATGAAGTCTTTCATTGTCAATACCCTGTCACCCAAGTTGTGGCGAGGTCTCCAGGAGCATAATGCATATATAGGTTTGCCACCTAGGTCCCCCTACTCCTGTAACTGCCCTCTCAACTCATATTTCATCCATGTTTTAAAAAATACTATTTATTATTTTTATTTTAAGTGTATGAATGTACTTCCTCCTTGTATGTAAGTGTATCTGTATTGTGCATTGCCCACTGAAGTCAGAAGAAAGCATTGAATCCCCTGGAACTGGAGTTACGGATGGTTGTTAGCTGCCATGTGGGTGCTAGGAATCGAACCCAGGTCCTCTTCAAGAGCAGTCAGTATTCTTAACTCCTGAGCCATCTCTCCAACCCTCATCCATTTTTGAAAGTAAAATTGAGATGTCTAAGGTAGGGACAATTTTGGTTGAGTACCTGAATTTTTGTACATTAAAGTGTCTGTCCCTATAAAATGTGCTACACAATCTTTTCATCTCTTCCATCTGTGATTTTTTTTGTTGTTGTTTTTTGAGACAGGGTTTCCCTGCAGCCCCAGATGGCCTAGAACTTGTTATGTACACCAGGCTGGCTTTAAATTCACAGAGATTCACCTGCCTCTGCCTCCTGAGTGCTGATATTAAAGGCATGTGCCGTCATGCCCGGCACCTGTCTGTGATTTTAGATATCTTAGTTTTAGCCCAAAATACTCAAGAAATTGCTTGTTTAAAGAGTTAATTTTTCAACTGACACATCCTTTTATTTAGACTCTTAATTTTTTTGGTCTTTTTGAGACAGGGTCTCCCTGTAGCCCTAGATGTCCTGGAACTCACTATGTAGACCAGGCTGGCCTTGAACTCATAGAGATCCACCGGCCTCTGCCTCCCAAGTGCTGGGATTAAAGGCATGTGCCACCATGCCACTCTTAATTTTTATTGAAAATATTTTACAAAATCATTGGCTCTCTATTTTCTTTAAAGTTTTACTATATTTATTTATTTAATGTGTTCATGTGCACATAGCCATGTGTGCATGCAGTTCAGTGTGTGTGTGTGTGTGTGTGTGTGTGTGTGTGTGTGTGTATCTATATGCAGAGGACAACTTGCAAGAGTGAGTTCTCTCTTTTTACCATGTGGGTTCTAGGGATATAATTCAGATTGTCAGGCTTGGTGTCAGGTGCTTTTACCCACTGAGCCATCTTGCCGGCCCCTAGCTAGTTCCCTATTTTCTTTTTTGTAATTTATCTATTACTTTTGTCTTATGTGTGTGTGTGTATTGCCTGCATGTAGGTAAGTGCACCCGTGTCGTGCAATGCCCATGGAGGATAGAAGAGGCTGTCAGATCACCTGGAACTGGAGTTATGGACACCTGTTAGCTGCCATGCGGGTTCTGGGATTCAAACTCAGGTCTTCTGCAAGAATAGTCAGTGTTCTTAACCGCTGAGCCATTTCTCCAGCCCTAGTTCCCTGTTTTCTTAAATATCAATTGAGGATTATAATAACATTTCTTGATGAATTGGACAAATAATGCGCATGTTCTACTACACTAGAGTATGACGTAGTGGCATCCTGAGGGATCTACTGAGGCAGCAAGATTCCTGGCCTCCTAAACTAAATGACTCCAGGTTGTTTCTGTCATTTTTTATTGTCATCAGCTGCCATTTCTTTTTCTTGTCAGCTCTCTCTCTCTCTCTCTCTCTCTCTCTCTCTCTCTCTCTCTCTCAGGAGCCGTTTACCTTGTTTTTTGAGACAGGGCCTTGTGTTTACCAATGGCTTTGGGTTTAACAAGGAGGCTAAGTTTGCAGGCCAATGAGCCATTAGGGATCCTCTTATCTCTGCCTTCCCAGCACCATGTTTGTAAGCATGTGCCACCATGCCCATCTTTTTTTCATGGGTGCTGGGGAATCAAACTCAGGTTCTCATGTTTCGTGATAAGCACTTTACAGACTAAAGAATTTCTGAGCCCTGTTGCCATGGGGTTTTTTTGTTTTGTCTTTTCGAAGCAGGGTCTCCCTGTAGCCCCAGCTGGCCTTGAACTCACAGCGATCTGCCTGCCTCTGCTTCCCAAGTGCTGGGACTACAGATGTGTGCCACCACACCCGGCTGCCATGTTATTTTTAATTTTTAAAAAGGTTTATTTTTTATTATATGTATATGAGTGTGTCTGCGTGTGGGTCTGTGTATGTGTGAATGCAGGTACCCACAGTATTTAGAAGAGGATGTCAAATCCCCTGGAGCTAGAGTTACAGGTAAGTTGTGAGCCACCAGACATGGGTACTAGGAACTGAACTCGGGTCCTCTACAAGAGCAGTATGAACTACTAACCACTGAGCCATTTCTCCAGCTCCTATTGCCATATATTTAACTCAATATATTTCTTTAAATATAGCTCTAGCTCTGCTTGCTAGAAAGTTCTGTAGCACAGCTCTGTGGCTACCAAGTGGAGGAGGCCTTTGGAATTGCTGGAAGACTGGTCTTCAAATGAGTGGAACAGTGCTATAATTTGTGACTCATGAGCCTTATGTGATTAATAAGTAATATAATCCTCATCCAAACTAGGCTTGAATATCCTCTACAAAGAAGACTAGGGGAATTCCAGATGGTAAAACAGTAAGCAAATTCTGCAGGGTTAAGTCAGCATTTCTGCTTTCTACATTCCCTTTCATGGACGTTCCAAATGGGATGTCCCATGCAACATGTGCAAGCTTGCTTACCCCCTGGGAGTATCAAGGCTAGGACAGTGCTCTATACATTGCCCTCTCTACTTAGGGTATGGATCATCCATCAATCATGTCCAACCTGTGGCAGGCTGCATGTAGCCATATGTGGCCAAGGATAGCTATGAATGTGGCCCCACACAAAATCACATGTTTATTTAAAACACTGTGAGATTTGGGGGGTGGGAGGCTAATAGTTTGGTAATTCAATAAATGATGATGGCACTTCACAATGTCAAAAAAAAGTTGAATATACCTGTACCCATTCATTTCCTAGGAGCAGTGAGCATAGGTTGGACTCATCTTTTCTTATAGATTATTCCAGGTTCTCTTAAAAGACTTACAGTTGTGTAAGTGGCCTTCTTCTTTTGTTTATGAGGATTTAAAGTCATCTTGTGTCGAGCAGCTGAAGAATCCAAGCACTTCTGTGTACTGGCTGGAGTACTGAAATCCAAAGGCTGCTGGGCGCTGCTTGGAGAGGACTCTGATTGATCAGGCTCTGATGCTAGTTCAGAGATGCTCTTAAAAGAGTTGGAGAAAAGAAGGAAATAAACCCACACATAGGCTGTCAATGGTCTTAAAGTTAGAAATGCTTCCTTCTGGTTAAAGAATTCCTAAAGAAATATTTCATGAATGACTGCTCTCTTTCTTTTCCTTTTCTGTTTAAACTCCACACTTTGGTTCCTTTGTAAATGGAAGCAAGCAGTAAGAAATTTGTGTTGCACCCTTACTCAGAAAGCATTCAGGGGTGCCCAGTTGCCCTCAGGATTGGAATACAAGCATTTAACAGAGTTTACAAGGTCAAAGGTTTGTATGTTCTCTTGTCCCATCTACCCTTCTTAGCAACAGAAAAGCATCTATTTAGGGAGAGAGACACATCCTGTGTGAGTGAGTGTGGGGCTCTGGGATTACTGTATTGGAGTTTTGGATGGAGAAAACCCAGTTGGAATAGGTCCTGTTTGTAAGCTGTGTTCTTATAGTGAGCACACTACCTTTACTTATATTTACTATTCATGAGTGCAAGGCTGATGTGAAGACCCCAAAGAATTGACTTCTCCCACCTCCAGTGTGACAGTCATAGAGGCTGTAACCTTGTCCTGATTATGGGCCTCGATTTCCCCAAACTATTTGTTTCTGGGACGCCTGGTTAGAATCCTTGATAGGAGTTTCAAAACAGTCTCTTGGGGGTTCTGGATATAGTGTTTTTCAGACCTCCACATGCCAGAGCTCCTCCACTCTTTATGACCTGCAGGCTTCTTCTAGCAGAAGCCACATTGAACATCAGGTGATAAGTCGTCTCACTTCCAGCCATCAGTAGGCAAACGATGCAATGTTTCCTTTGTGTTTACCCACTAAGTCCTTTTCAAAATAGTGTTTCACAATGCTAGGGACCCCTTGGCTAAAGGCAGCATTCATATGCCCTCACATTTTCCATCACCATTATATGAAGATGCAGAGGTAACCCCAGCTGCTTATTTTGGTTCTAAATATCGTTCTTTTATGACCTGTGATTTCAGTGTCTGGGAGCTGAACAGTGCTAATGGGGCGGGCTGCTGACTAACCTAGTTCATCTTTCAGGTTTTGTCTCCATCAACTGGAAAGGATGTTAGAGCTGTCATATGAGGTCAACCACACAGCATTAAGGGTGGTCCCAAGCCTTTCTTAAACTTCTTTATGCAGTTGTCATCCAAGGATTTATACAATACTCCTTCCCAATATTATCTATTTGGCTTGTATGATCACTTTCAATTATTAATTGAATACTCAGTGTATAGAATAATGCCTTTTGTTGTAATGTTCTGAACTTTCTTCTTACACTAGGGTCATCTTATGGTTCTGGTCTCTTGGGAGTGTATGATCACATATATGTCCCTGTTAACCTTACACGATATGCCTCCCTGTTGCTTCTCTGCCCACATCTTCCTACCATTTACTGCTCCAGACACACTGCTGGTTTGCTGTTGTTCAAACAGTCCAAGCATGCTCCCCAAGGCCTTGCACTGCTACGCACATTATTCCCTCATATCCATGGAGTTAGATCCCTTACTTGATTAAAAAATTCTATCTTCTCAGTGAGGCCTTCCATGGCCAACCTATTTAAAATTTTAATGTATATTTTTATTGAAATTTTGTGCATTTCATACAATGCATCTTAATCATATTTGGATCCCTCCTGTAGCTGCACCTCCCACAGCCCACCCACTGGATTTCATGCATTCTTTCATATGTATTAAGGCCTATCTAGTCAAGTTTGTGTACCCATATGTCCCTCAGTGTGAATTCATCCACTGGAGTCTGTTTAACCTATCTAGCATCACTCCCTTAAAGGAGATCAACTGTCCCTCACCTAGTAGTGATCAGCTGCCGATAGTTCCCTGGCTAACAACCTATTTCAATTTTTTAGCACTGAAGTATATGCCTCTCTCTGTCTCTCTGTCTCTGTCTCTGACTCTCATGTGTGCGTGTGTGTGCGTGCATGTGTGTGTGTGTAATATGTGTGCTAGTGCAGACATGCTCACCCATACTGCACCTATGGAGGCCAGAGGTCAACATCAGGTGTCTTTCTCTATCACTCTCCATTTCAATTTTAGAAACAGGGTCTCTCAATGATCTCAGAGCTCAACATTTTGGCTAGACTGAATGACCATTGAATTTCTGGGATCTACTGCCTCTGGTGAAGAGAGCATGGGAGAGGGAGAGGGAGAGAGAGGAAAAGATAGAGGAGGGGATCAGGGAAGAGACAGAGAAAGAAGGGGAGGGAGGAGGAAGGGGGCAGAGAGAGGTGGGTTAAAGGGGAAGGGAGAGGCAGAAGTTGGGAGGGAGAGGGTGAGACGGGGAAGTCAAGAGGGGGGAGAGAGGGAGAGGGAGAGATGGGAAGAGAGAAGATGGGAGAGAGGGAGGGAGAGGAGGAGAGAGGAGTGAGAAAGAAAGGCATGAGAGCAAGGGAGAGAGTGAGAAAATGGGAGGGTGGGGAGGGAAAGGGGGGAGAGGGAGACAGGAAGAGTGAGTTGAAGGGAGAGAGGAGGGAGAGAGAGAAAGGGAATGACATAGAGGTGAGAGAGAGGGGGAAGGAAGAGAGGCAGGGTGAAAGGTTGGGAAAGGGGTGATAGAGAAGGAGAGAGGAGATGCAGAGGGAGGGAGACAGAGGGAAACAGAGGTGGGAGAGAGGAGAGAGAGTGGCTGGAGGAAAGAAGGGTAGAGTGAGAGATAGAGAGACCAGAGGGGAAGAAAGAAGGGAGAAAGGGAGAGAGAGGGAGAGAGATAAAGATGGAGAGAAGGATGGAAGAAGGAGGGAGACAGAGAGGTAGGGACAGAGAAACAAGGAAAGAGATGTGGGAGAGAGAGTCAGGGACATCAGGGAAAGAAGACGAATGAGGGAGAGGGAAGAGAGGTGGGGGAGTGAGAGACAGAGTAGGAGGGAGGGTGAGGGAGTGAAGATGAAAGAGGGAGAGAAGGAGAGGGATGACAGAGAGGGAGAGAGAGGTGGAGAGAGTGATAGAGAGGGAGGGAAATAATGTGGGGAGAGAGGGGAGAAGAGGGGTAAAGAGAGGAGGAGACTGAGTGAGCCAAGGAGAGAGAAAGGAAGGGGGAGAGAGGGACAGAAGGAGAGAAGGAGGGAGAGAGGGAGTAAGAGGGGCATAGAGCTAGAGAGAGTGGGGGAGATAGTGGGGAAGAGAGGGGAGAGGGAAGAGGGAGAGAGGGATACAGGAGGGGAATAGAAAGGGAATAGAGAAGAGAAAAAGTAAAAGGGAGAGGAAGAGGGAGAGAGGTTGGGAGAGGGAAACAAAGGGAGTCGGGTAGAGAGGGAGGGAGAAGGTGGAGAGAATGGCAAGAGAAAGAGAAGGTGGGAGAGAAAAGAGGGGGGATGGGAGAAAAAGATGGAGAGGGAAGAGAGTGAGAGAAAGTGGTGGGGAAGAGGAGGGGAGGGAGAGAAGTGAGAGAGGAAAGGAAAGGGAGAGGGAGATGTGGAGGGAGAGAGAGGGAGAGATAGGGCAGGAGAGTGGGATGGATGAGGAACGGACCAAGAGAGGGAGAGAGAGGAGGAGAGAGGGAGAGGGACACAAAGAGAGAACAGAGGGGGATGGAGAGAGGGAGATAGAGAATGGGAGAGGGACAGGAAGAGATAAAAAGAGGGACAGAGGAGGGAGATGGGGGAGAGAGGAGAGAGTGAGGAATAGAGGGGCATCAAGAGACGGTGGGAAGAGAAAAGAGTGGAAGAAAAGAGTAGAGAGGGAGGTGGGAGAGAAAGGGGAAGAGAATGGGAGAGACAAAAGTGTGTGAGAGATGGGGAGGATGAGGAGGGGGGAGAGGGACAGTGAGAGTACAAGAGAGGGGGAGGGAGAGAGGGAAGGAGAGGAGAGGGAACGAGGGGTGGAGAAATAGACAGGGAGATGAGGGTGATAGATGGGGGAGAAGGGAGAAAGAGAAGATAGAGGAGAAAGGAGAGAGTAGAAAGAGGGATAGAGGGAGAGAAAGGAGAGTGGGGAGGGGAGGGAGCAACAAATGAAGATGGAGAGAGAGACAGGGAGGGGGAGGTAGAGGGAGTGTGAGAGAGAAATAGAGGGTGAGATGTGGGACAGGACTGACAGGTGAGGGAGGGACAGAGGAAGAGGGAGGGAAAGGAATAGGGGAAGAGATGTGAAGAGAGGGGAAACAAGGATGGAAAGAGAAGGGAGGAGGGAAGGCAAGAGAAATGTGGAGAGAGAGGGAGGAAGAGAAAGTGTAAGAGAAAGAGGGTTAGAGAGTGCGGGAGGGGAGGGGGAGAGAGAAGGAGGAGAGATAAAGATGGAGGAGAGATAGAGTGGGAGAGAGAGGGGTAGGGTAGAGGAATAGAGATACACAGAGCAAGGGAGGAGATAGAGAGGAAGAGGGAGAGGGAGACTGGAAGGTTGAGAGAGATGGAGGGAGAGGGAGAGGGAGGGACAGAGAAGGCAGGAGAGAGACTAGAAGAGAGAGCAGGGGAGGGGCGGAAGTGAAAATGGGGGATGGAAAGAGGAAGAAGAGAGACAAAGGTTGAAAGAAATAAATGAAGAGAGAGAAACAGCAGCAACAAAAACACCTGCAAAGTATTCCTAGAGGTAGATTTAATCGTTGCTTTTTGTGCCCTCTCTGGATCTTTTCTTCTTTGCTTAGTTTTGTCCCTGTTGCTCAGTGAGAAGGCAGTAGGAACTGGGTTTGGGTTTTTTTTGGAGGGAGGGGGCTTGGGGAATATAAAAGTTTGGAGGTACAGTGGGTAAACTGAGTCATCTATCTGCTTGAACAATCATCTACCCAGGCCAGCTGATCTGGCTGAGATGTCGATAATTGTTTCTTGGGAAGCTGCCACTGCCACCATTGCTGTTAAGTGCAGCCTTTGTTTCACCACAGCAAAGTAATAAGCCTGGAATCAGCAGAAAGAGCTAAGATACTCTCATGCCTGGGGATGGTAGGGATTATATTGTAATACCAAAGACTTGACGTTCCAGGTGACAGCCCAGCAACTAATTCACATTTTCTTGACTTGACTCAGTTCTATTTTTGCGGGGTTTATTTTGGTTTTGAGACACAAATACCCATCGGTGAACAAATGGCTAAACAAAGTGTGATATCTCCAAAGGACTATTACTCAGCCATGAATAGGAATGCTGCAATATGGATGAGCTCACTGAAAACATTATACTAAATGAAAAAAGTTGTATATAAAGGCTACATGTTATTTCATTCTATTTATATAACATAAAATAAGAAAGTAAAGATATAGAAATCAAAGTAGCTATTGTCTGGGGTTCATAGAAGACAGGAATGGTGATTCACTGCTTAACACGAATTGGGTTTCCATTTGGAAGAACCAAAAAAGTTCTGGACCTAGATAGTGATGGTACTACACAGCATCAGCATGGTGGATGCATGTAACTCCACTAATCCGGTCTTCCACCAGTTCAGACTGCCCCACCCAGTCCATGTGATTTAGTGTTGTTCTGCAGAAAATGCTTATAATCATAACCCAATTGCATACATTAATGATCTTCCATTGGCCTAGTACCATCCTGTGCTTTAACTTTGGACCCACCCTAATCACCCTGACATATGTAGCCATAGCCGAAGGTGACTTTTCTTTATACTGTCTTTTTCTTTTTCAGTGCTGGGAATTGAACCCAGGGCCTTACAAACACTAAGCAAGTGCTGTGCCACTGAGATACACCCCCAGCTGCCTTCCTGGAATATTTTAACATCAAAGCAGAGTTTTTCTTTGACTACAAATTATGTTTGTTTATTGTTAGCTCCCAATATTAATTGCTCTAAATTTGACAACACTCTAAAAGACTCCTTAAGTTCCAAAACAACTAATTAAGCCAAACACAAATTACTTTGAGAATGGAACTGTTGATATGAATACAATCTACTAATTTGCCAATCATTAATGAGTATTATTTGGTTGGCAGATATAAACATGCAAAATACACAGACATGCATGCCTTCTCCTGTGCCAACTGCTTTTTCATATGAGTACGTAGCTATCAAACAATGCTACGTGACCTAACCTTTAAGATTTTGGTATTTAAAAGTGTAGAGGATTTTTCTTCAGTTAAAAAATATTTAATTTTCATAAAATCACTTAATAGATCCACAATGATTCTTTGTTTCTGAAATAATGCCTTCCACTGTTTAGAAGTTAAAATGCTGATTAATTAGTTTATAGATCAGGGTGGAAGATGTAAACCCACCATGCACATTAAAATCCAAAAATGATAGCTCATTCCCCAAGCAACCACCCTGGTCCTACCCCTGAAGCTGAGGCATGGCAAGAGAAAACAGAACAAGAAATTATGTCTTGGACAGGTGGCCACCCCAGAACCTGCCCCTCAGGATAGGACTAATCCTCACCTTCATTGGTGTCAATGGACGATATGGAGAAGACTGCTTCTTGGGGCTCTTTGGTGCCTTATCACCAACATGCATTTTTTCAAAAGCCTTAGAGGTTGTCTCAGTTTGAATATCAGTGGGTCTGACTCTGGGTTTGTGTGGGTGCAGAGGTGGAATCTATCAAAGGAGACAATGGAAGGAAAAAGTTCAAACCTGAGTGCTTTCCCCAAGATTTGTGTTCTTTCGTTTTTTTCTTTTAATTGTTGAAACACTAACAAGCCAATAAGGAGAAAAAAATGACATATAAAAATGTCATAATGAGAGCCCTGGAGAGATGGTTCAGTGGTTAAGAGCAGAAGACCCGAGTTTGATTCCCAGCATTCATGTGGTGGCTAATAATTTTCTGTAACTCCATTTCCAGGGGAATTGACACCCTCTTCTTTCCTCTGCAGGTATTGCATGACATAGGTGCACTTACACACATGCAGGTAATACATCATACACATTAAAAATAAAAAAAAATAATAATAAATAAAATATTTTTAAATTTTCATAATGAAATCATTTATATATAAGTAATATACAATAATAAGGGCTGGGGAGATGGCTCACTGGGTAAAAGAACTTGCCATGCAAGTGTGAGGGCCTGAGGTCAAATCCCCAGAACCCCATAACACCGGATGGGCATCAGGAGTGTCTGTAACCCCAATGCTTCTATGGTGGGATGGAAGGCAAAGACAGAACCAGCCCCTGAAGCTTGTAGGCCAACTAGACTGTGTACACAAAAGAAAAAAAAAAGAGACCCTGTCTGAAACAAATATGGAAGATGAGGACCAACACCCCAGGTTGTCTGTCCTCTGACTCCCACATGAATATGATGGCTGGTATGTGCCCTCATTCACACAGATAAATGTGGGCACACTCACATTGTGCTCATATACATAAATAATATTCTACTAAAAAAAACCTTAAAATGGGACTAGGAAAGAGTGTCCTATCTCCCTACCTTCACTTCTAATACCTACTTAAACCAAACACTGGCAACCTTGGCTTAATCTTTGGGTTTATTTCTATATACTATTTCTAATCCCCAAATAAACTCAGAAACTTCCATTTTATTATTTGATTAAAACCAGAGTCTTGGTGTTAGCTCCTTCCAAATTCTGTCTACAAATCATGCTTAGTTCTGATCTTTGTTTGAACTTTGATCATGTCTTTGGAGTACAATTTCTACAGAGGTGTATCTTGGGGTTATGATCATAGACTGGCCTCCAAACTACAATCCTTGCTATTTTTATTCCAAAAAATATCTGGACTGGATCTTGACTTCACCCTATTAATGTTGGTTTTTTTGATAATGTGAAAGAAAAATAGAGATTAAGCCTGGGGTGAGGCTCATTAGTACATCACTTTCTGAGCATGAGTGAGGATCTGTGTTTGATCTCTAGCATGAGGTAGGTAGGTAGGTAGGGAGTTAGGTAGGTGGATGGATGGATGGATGGATGGATGATTGATTGATTGGTAGATAGATGATAGATAGATAGATAGATAGATAGATAGATAGATAGATGATAGATAGATAGATAGATAGATAGATAGATAGATAGATAGATAGATAGATAGATGATAGATAGATGATAGGATCTACAGATTTGGCCTTAACTTTGTAAAAGGTAAAATTATTTATTTGGGTTGGGGTTGGTCAGCAGACTAATTAATTTCAGACTGAGGACCATGATACACTTGCCTTCAAGATACCATTCCTAGTGTGGTCCACTTGTTGTGGACCGGAATCTTTGATTTTATCTTTAATAAATATTAGATGAACACCTACAATGTGCTACACCCAATTTTATTAACTGAGCCTACAATGATTAATGAGACAAAATTCTTTCTTCATTGGAGTTAACGTACTTGCTTTTGTTTTAGGCTATGCACAGCATAAGACACATAGTCTCCAGAGATGATGTAACTGGTCATAATTCTATCAGTGGCAAGGCAAGAATTTGAACGGTCTCTCCAGATTGATAGTCTGTTCTTAATCACTGTACATACTTATTTTCCTCATTATAAAGGCCAAGAATGGGAGATCTCATGCTGAAAACCAAGTTGAGGAAGTTCAAAAGCAAAGACCAGAACTGATGGTGTGCCTACTTCCTTAAGAGCAGCTTCTGATGGGGCTGGAGAGATGGCTCAGAGGTTAAGAGCACTGATTACTCTTGCAGAGGACCCGTATTCCATTCCCAGCACCCACATAGTGGCTAACAACCATCTGTAACTCCAGTTCCAGGGGACTCAAAGTCCTCTTCTGACCTCCATAGGTACTGCATGACACAGGTGCACTTACATGCATGCAGGTAATATACTTAGACACATAAAATAAAAATAATAAAATATTTTTAAAGGAACACCTTCAGAGGAAGAGCTTGGCCTGAGAACAGTGAGAAAAATGGCTTTTGGGGGTTGGTTTCTAAAATGATGAACTTAATTCAATTCAACAGAAGGAAGATGCTAACAATACACTATCACATCTTAACTATTTGTAACCAAATAGAAAGAACTCATCTAAGTGTACACATTCCTAACACTTCAAAGAGGCCAGCAGGTGAATATCTGGAAGGGAATAACTGGCTCCATCTTGGTATTTCTGACACGACTGTGAATCTGAATTTCTTCTCTTACAATTTCCTAGTTGCTGTGAATTTCATTTAAGAGTCCGTCAAGGACTCTTCCTCCTCAAGGAACTCAAAGATGCAGCACTGGGTGTCAGGACCCTCTGTGTGTGTGTGTGTGTGTGTGTGTGTGTGTGTGTGTGTGTGTCCCTGTGTCCATGTCCGTGTCTGTGTCTGTCTGTCGTTTTGAGACAGGGTCTCACAATGTAGCCCAGGCTGGCCTAGAACTCATTATGTGGAATAGGCACATCTTGAACTTGTGATCCTCCTTCCTCAGTCTCCTAAGTGCCAGCATTATGGGAAAGTGCCACCATGCTTGGCCTCTGGGACCCTTGTTATCAATTATCCTTCATTTAGTGTTGTCACCTTGGCAATTAAGGGAGGTTTTCTACACAAAAGTCCATCTGGTTGCTGATGACCCATTAGCGCCCTCTGCTGTCCTCAGTCCTGTTTCACAGGAAAAAGCCTAAAGGATTGGGCAAAAAATGTGAATGAGGTGTGGAACCACACAGAACATTTAAGAAAACTTGTCTTTGGACTACTGTGGTTTTCCCTGTCCCCTTCATTATGAGAAGTAAAGCCCCTAGAATCTTTTCCTGTAATCTTTTCAAAAACTAACTACTTTATTTTTAATGGAATATCTCTGTTTTATGAGTTTCTCCGTTGCTGGGACTTAGGGAGGCGGGGAAGAATAAGGAGCCTAGGAACTAGGTTTCTTCTTTCCAAATGTGTAAGAAATGGCCATAAGGGATCAGGAAGAGAAAAATGGGTGAGATCGCTTTTGTTAAATGCAAGCTAGTCAGCTCTCTATTGTGGAAAAGTCTTCTTGTGCAGAAATTGCATCTCCAGTTTCACAGGGATGTTTTGAGCATAAGCTCACCCATAACTGAAAAGAAGAGCTGCTAAGGGTTGATGCACTGCCATTTACTGCAGCTCCATCATGGCCCTTTCTGGATCAGGCTGAGGATGGATGCCTCTTATAAGTTTAGGATTAGCTGGAGGTAGGAGACTATCCTATGTAAATGCTACATGTTATTGAGGCTATGAGTGCATCTTATCTGGGCAGACATAAAAAGGAGAGAATCTAACTTTGAAGTTAACACACATAAAACACATCTCCAATTCTACAACTTACTACCTGGGAGATTTTGAATAACTTCTTTAACCTTTTGGTTTTCACTAAATCCTCATGAACAATTCTTTGAGGGAGATAGTAATGCTATAAATTGTAGATGAAGAAGGCTCAGAGAGGTAGAGCATCTAGAAGATGGTCTTAGCCATTAAGTTGCAGAGTGAGAATTCAAACATAGATCTATCTGACTTGGAAGTCCATGTTCCAAACAATTCTACTCTATTTCTTCAGTGATTTTGGAAGAAAATCCAAATCCACTGTTGAAGCCTACAACCCAGATTTCACTTCTCTGTGAATATTGGCCTGTAACTCCACCCGAAAGTATATCAGCTCCCTAAGATCTAGGCAGAGTTCTGGAAAGAGGATATCTCTGTGGAACAGAGAGAAAAATTGGGGGCTTTATATGCTAGCACATATATAGTGGACTTTTCATTACCAAAATAATGATAGTATTTTTGGAGTTTGTTAAGAGAAGAGAATAATGGCAGCTAACACTCTGTTGGGCACATAAGCATATATTTACATAGTTTGGTTATTTGATGTTTCCAGTACCCTGGTGGGTTAGGATCAGCTGAGAAGCAGGACAAAATTCCTCCTTCCTTTGAGGAGGAGTCAGGATAGAAGAATAGTGGTCTAATTAGGCTCTGATGTTTGAGTTCATTGTTACCTGTGTAGCTCCGCCTCCCAGATGTTCTGAAGAGGGGTCTCGTGTACTTGATTTTTCACGTTCAGGTTCCAGGCTGAAGATGCTATCATGGGATATGGCTTTGGTTCCCACACTGCTCTTGCGTCTACAGAGAAAGGAAAAGACTTGTAAAAGCAGTCTAAGGGCTCTAAGACTTGAAGGCCAAAGTATTTCACAATATGGCCTGCCATATTCAGAAGGGGTGCAGGGATGCATCTGTGCTGACATAGAAAGTGGTTCATGGGAGGAGGCGCAAAACTATAAAGAACAGTATGGACCCACCTAACACCTGCACACATAGTACATACACACATACTTCATGTTCAGAGAAAAATGTCCAGGAGGGAATCTATCAAACTGTTAGTGGTGATTCCCTTTGAAAATAGGCCCCAGAGAAAAGGGGATTTCTATTTTCTCTCTTGTGCTTTGTTGTTATTATTTACATATGTTTATATACAAATTGTATTGAGATGGATTAGTTACCATACAATTCACCCATTTAAAGTATACAATTCAACAGCTCTCATCCTAAAGAAATGTGAGGGTTATTAAAGATATTTCACATTCAAATTTCATTCTAGTGAGGGAAAATCAGTTTTTTCAGGGACTACCTCTCTGAGAAGTTATCTAATCCCGAGTGTACACCCTCAAACACAGGTACATACAAGCACTTTCAAATGAACTTGGTGCAGTGTGTGTGGGGTGTGTGTGTGTGTGTGTGTTTATAAATGTATATATATGCAGCAATAATAATCAGAAAAGAGGATAACAAATTGAAAGGGAGTGGGGTGGATATGGGAGGAATTGCAGGGAGACTGGGAGGGATGGAAATGATGCCAATATTCATGTATAAAATTCTTGAAAATAAAATAAAATAAAAATTTAAAAATTCCCTCTAATATTTTGTTTTGATTTGTTTTGAAATTATCAATGATCTGCCCAGATGTAGGTTTTTTTATTTTTTAAAACTTTACATTAGTCTTTTTATCATGTATGTATGTGCATGCATGTGTGTGTGTGTGTGTGTGTGTGTGTGTGTGTTTATTTTATGGGTTGGAGCATGGACATGCTATGGTGTGCATGTAGAGGTCAGAAGACAATTTTGGGGGTGGGTTCTCTGTTTTCACTATGTGGGTGCTGGTTATGAACTCAGGCCGTCAGGCTTAGTAGCAAGTGGCTTTACCCATTAAGCTAACTTGCTGGACCTCATGATTTGTTATCAGTAAACATTTGAGTTGTATACCTATTTTATATAACTATACACCCGGGGTCATGTGTATTCTTAGGTGAAAAGCGTTGCGAGTGGAAAAAACTTAAACCCTGCTTCTTAACATTTAAATACTTAAATGGCATATCCAACTGATCCAACAGTAAGAAAGCAGTGTTTCCAGACATTTCTGTAGACACACATATGTTCACTGTGCATATATAAGCACTCTTTCAGTGTTTCTCTATAACCAGCTGGCTCAAATCAGGCTTGGAACCAGTGTGGCATCTGCAAGTCACCAAGAGCAAAACCCAGAGGAAATCTCAAAGTATGGGTAGGCTTAGACTTTGCTCTCATTTGCATGCTGTTACATTACAGAGTGCAGCAATTGTAGTGGCCCTGTAGTGCCAAGCCCTCCCTGATCCAAAGATCACATTTGCCTCATATGTGACCGTCTCTGCCAGAAACCAAACCCTTGACCCACCAAATATATCTCCTGCTCATTGATCCGCTCCTTGGAAGCAGGATGAAGAAAAAGTGTCTAAGACTCCAAACAAAATCTCCACCTTAAGGCCAATAAAGCACTTTATAACAGTAGCCATTAAGGAATTACATGATCGAATGTAATATGTCCACTTCCACCAAGTATGTATATTGTAATACAGTCTTGGAAATTCTACTAGTTCTATTGTGCAGAAGGCTGGTTACAGGGTTTTTTTTTTTAATTATTTTTTTCATTCAACAATTTCATACATGTACATACTGAATTTTAGTCATTTTTACTCTCCATTACCCTTTCTCATCCCCTCTGTTTCCTGCTGAAACCCTTCTTCCCCACAAGTCCTCTTCTATTTTGATGTCTTGGGTAGGGGTATCCACTGAGTTTAATTAAGGTTGCTTGCACGACCATGAGTGGGCAATTATTTACTGGAGCTTGAATGACATTTTCTCCCCTAGTAGCTATTTACTGCCTAATATAGCTATACATTTTATAATTGACTATTTAGATGGATGAAAACCATGGTCTCTCTTCCAAACTCCTGAGTGGCATTTTTGTAAGGTTTCTGTCCTAGCACATTAAGCAAGGGACAGAGGTCAAAGATGATCTTCAGGCTCATATGTTATATTCTTTAATTTATATTCCTCACAAAAAATATCCCCCTCAACACTTTTTAGTATGACGAATACAACATAGTAAATGGAGCATTTTGGAGAGGGAGGTACGATTTTGTAGAAAAGTCAAACAATTTGCAGAAACAATTCAAGGTAAACAAAACTGCCCTTCCCTCAAAAACTGTTGTTTAGGCAGGCTAGTTTTAGTCTAACTTCAAGCTCTAAGGCCTTACTTTTGAGGTTTGAAATAAACCCCTTTGTCCAAAACCATCCCTCCCACTGGCAAAGTAATCTGAAGTCCTCATAGTGGAAATACTTATTAAAGATCCATAGGCCCTTAGGATCATTATATCACAGGAAGTATTGGAGGGAGGAAAGTATTGGGGGCAGCATAGCTTGGAAGTTAGTTACCTCATTACTACTAAGCAGAGCCTCAGGGAATGACTAACTGCACTGGTGAGCTCTGTGGGGCATCACTAGATATCTGCGGTGTAAGACCATGAGAATATGCCCAAAGAGCACTCCACAGACTGAGATTTCATTGATTCTGGGACAGCTGAAGGTATTGGATATCCCAATGAAGAGAAATATGATGTGTAAATTGGAATACCAAAATGAAAATTTTAATGGGGGCATCAGTGGCTGAGAAACAGTCTTCCCCACATCCCTGTGAGTACCCAGTCTCTTGAAGTGGAGGGAGAGACAGATTGGGCTTGTTAGTGTACGTGCTTTACAGCTACGCCATGATTTTTTTATTTAAATAATTTGGGGGGGCATGGTCTTCCCGTAGCCCCAGCTGACCTAGAATTCACTGTATAGACCAGGTTGACCTCCATCTCACAGAGATCCGCCTGCCTCTGTCTCCTGAGTGCTGGGATTAAAGCCATCTACCACCACACCTCACACAACCATGATTTATATTCTTAAGCTCTTCTTTATTAAATAAATTTTTTAATTTATTATTTTTATTTTATATGTATGCGTGTATTGCCTGCATGTAGGTAAGTGCACCCATGTCATGCAATGCCCACAGAGGACGAGAGAGACTCTCAGAGCCCCTAGAACTAGAGTTATGGACAGTTGTGAGCTGCTACGTGGGTGCTGGGATTGGAACCCGGGTCTTCTAAAAGAACAACCAGTGTTCTTAACCACTGAGCCATCTCTCCAGCCCCCATATTCTCCTATTGTACAAAGCTCTTTTGGAATTGTACCAGTTATTATGAGATCTGAATTCCATTGGCCAGACCTGCAGTCTACGGATAAGGCAAGCAAACCAGACCAAAAGACCAAACTTCTGCATGACATAGGCCATTATGACTGCACAAAATGGCCTCCAGCTCCTCATGAGCAGCAGACCTAGAGTCTCTGATTATTCTACTTGAATGTCCATGTTCTGGCTCTGACCCCACCCCCTGCACTTTGTCTGAGCTTACTTGGAATCCATTGCTTCAATTTCTGGAACTGGCTTCAGAAAAGACAGGCTTATACTGACACCCGACAGAGTTGATCTCTTCACTCTCTCTTCCTGGAACTCTTCTGAGTCTCTCTTCTCCTTCTTGCCAAAAAAACTCTTTAAAATTTTAAATTTAGATTTCCTCCTCCCTGAAAGTGAGAAATGGAAGTAAGGTGATGGAGTCAGGGAAGGTAGGCGGGGAAACAGAGCTTTCATGACAGGAACAGTGCTATGATCCCAGGTATCCTGCAGATCATGCCTCCAGTGCCCACACCACCATTTCTTTGTTTGTACCCATTTTCAAAACTCTGTACCCAAGTATCTGAATTCCTATGGAAAGAAACAACCAGGACACAGCTTAGAATCTTAAGGCATCCTTGATTCAGGCCAAACTCTCAAGATACACACACATACAGACACACACCACTAGCACCACCACCACCCCTCTCCTTGACCTATGAATCAAAGTTCACTCTTTGAAGTGACGATTGAGCCAATGTGAGCAAGTACAGTTGGATGATGTAGCCAGTGAGCAGTCTCTTTTTGGGGACAGGAGTTTATGTGCAAAAGAGAAGGCTGACAAAGATCTGCCCAGGCAAAGAAACTGCTTTTGCAAAAGCTGTGTAAAATTCAGGTACCAGAGATTGGTTTGTAAAGGTTTTTCAAGGGGTTGTTGCCCAGCCTCTTGGAATTTCATTAGTGTGTGTGTGTGTGTGTGTGTGTGTGTGTGTGTGTGTGCGTTATGAGCATTGTGCCTGTTTTTCAACTATTCCCAGTTGGTTTGAATTATGAGCAGAGTTGCACATGCAGGTAAATCTCTTGGAATTTCATTAGTGTGTGTGTGTGTGTGTGTGTGTGTGTGTGTGTGTGTGCGTTATGAGCATTGTGCCTGTTTTTCAACTATTCCCAGTTGATTTGAATTATGAGCAGAGTTGCACATGCAGGTAAATAAAGTTTTGCTCCATCCCTAATAATTACCAGGGAAGCAGTGAGGAATGTGAGCATTAAATGGTCCTAAGGCTCTGGTTGGACTTCTTTTAACTTCTTTTTAAAAAATAATTTATTGAGAATTTCATACATGCATATAAAGTGTTTTGATCAAATCCATGCCCACTTCCTCCCCTCCAACTCCTCCCATATCTCCCCATCACCTTTTTTCTGATTCCTCCTCCTCCTCCTCCTCTTCCTCCTCCTCCTCCTCTTCCTCCTCCTCCTCCTCTTCTTCTTCATACAAATTGTATGGGCGGGACTTCTTCTCTGCCCCCTCCCCCGCTCCTTTTTCTTCTTCTTGTTGTAGTCCAGGCTGGCCTTAAGCTCACTATGTACCCAAGGATGACTTTGAACTTCTGATCCTCCTGTCTTCTCCCAAGCGCCACCACGCCCGTCTTTTCTTTTTTTTTTTAATGGGGCTTTTTGCTACTCTAACAGTCCCCCATGCCCTCTAACATGCCCCACGATGCCCTTCTCTCAAAATATAAATCTTAGAAAATGGTTTAAAAATTTTCATGTATATATGTGTCAGTGCTTGTGTGCTTGTGCTGTGATGATGCACATGTACATGTACATTTGGAGACCAGAGGAAAACCTTGTCTGCCATCTTCAAGAAAGTCATTGGCACTCTTTGTGTGGTGGGAAATGCTTTTAATCGCAACACTTAGGAGGCAGAGGCAGCTAGATCTCTGTGAGTTTGAGGCCAACCTAGTCTATGTAGCAAGTTCCAGTCAAGATGTGGCTACAAGGAGACACTGTCTCAAACAATAACAACAACAACAACAAAAACAAAACAAGAAAATCAAATAAATGAAAATTTTCTTTTTTCTTCTTCTTTGATTGATTTAGTTATTTTTATGGGGCTTTTGGCTACTCTAACATCCCCCTCTCTGAAGAGGTAACCCTAAAATCTTTTAAGGATTAGATACAAGCTCCCAAATACTTTCGACATTTTTGGCCTTTGGAACAGAGTATGTTGTTAAGAGGCCCAAGGACACTGTGGGTTTTAGCCAAGACACTGGCTACTTTTCTTTGGGGTCTTTTTACCCTAACTACCTAGCCAATTCCTACCTCCTATTCTTATCACACCATCCTCTGAAGAGGTTACCCAAATTGCCAATAGAGACTCGGGACGCAGACCACTCTGGCTTCTTCCATGCTGAACGGAGGATGCAGGGTGAGGCAATTGGGGTATCCCTTCAGTGGGTCTATCTAAAAGACTCCCAAATTGCATAACTCTTATCTGTAGGGGGAAAAGAAAGTTCTTGACTGGTGAATAGGAGATGTGAAGGAGAAGTAAATGCAAGAGTAATTAGCATTACAAGTTCTAGACAGGGAACTAGAAAAAAGAACAGCGCAAATTTCAAATGTTCACATGAGAATCCATTGGAATTTCTTGACGAGAATTTTCAAAAGCATCCGTCCTTTAATTTCTTAATTAGCACACGCATATATCTTTATCAGGCCTCAGTAGAAAAGAATGGAAGTGAGGCTTATGACGCATTTTTCAGAGGGGTTGCTTTCTCATGCAATAATTTACCAAGTGTGTTGCGGGGGGAGCTCTTTCTAATTCTTCATTCTGCTGTCTAGAAGGGCTGCTTAGTGGAACAAATCCATGCTAGTGGCACAATGCCAAGCCAAATGCAGCAGCCATTATGAAAGGTGTGGTGGTATAATGGGAAACACTGCCCACATGGCTGAATACTTTGGAATTCTAAAGTTGAATGTTCTGTGACCTTACCTGGGGTAAATCACTGGGTATGGGACTCAGCAGGAACATGAGGGGCATGCACCTGATCAGCACTTCCCAATGTGTATATGGAGGGGTGCTCTTGTTTTGATACTTGACAAATGGACCTGCAGTTCTACCTATCTGGGAAATGTTGGATTAGACAAAATTCAGTGGTCTGCATTCCAATAAGACTTTTCAGAAACCTTACGATGCTTATATGTCTGATGGGGTTCATTATATAACAAAGACCCAAATAAATGTGCCACATGCCATGAAACAACCCATTAAAAGCAACTCCCTGCTACCTGCAGAGAGATTTTAGATTTTTAGAAGAAATTGCAACTAAAGTTAGAGAAGAAACAGTTGCTTCTGGGTTGTGTGTTTACTTAGCCACCACACATACAGGCAACCTATCCCGGGTTGAATTTAGCTCTAAAATGCATAATAGAATGATGACCTTGTTCTCTTGCACTGCTACTTAGGGGAAAAAAACACATCTAGCTAACTTTTCTTCTTCTCCTCCTCCAAGTAGCTATCTTATTCTCTGACTAGCCCTGACTAGTTCTAAAAAAATGATCTTTAAAAAATTCTAGAGAATAGATCCAAGGCAGTTCCTTATTGCCACTCTTCATCAAGATGTACTGCACTGCCTTAGCCAGTTAATGGAGTAGCTGGGGCTGCTTTGGTGAGGAGCCATTTCATTCATTCATTCATTCATTCATTCACCCATGTGTCAATTTATTAAATATTTTGGAGTCCCTAATAGCTCTCTTTGAGAGCCTGTACTAAGCACTGGCAACCCAGAGGCTGGAGGCCCCCAAGACTCCATGAGCAGCCTCAGTATCCTGTACCTCACATACTCAGTGAGCTTAGGCCTCCAGGAAAGTCCAAGGAGGATCTTCTCTGACCTTCTGGATAAAGTCTTTTGCACTAAATACTACTAAAGAAAACTCAACAAATAACAACCTGGTTGACCATTAGATTTAGTTCTGTCTTTAAAGTCAATTCTGAAAGAGAGATGGGTTGCGGGGGGATGTGAACGAGGACCTACATATGAGAATTCTTATACATTGAACTTATTTAAAAGATGGTTGTGGTGGCCTCTTTAGTTTCTAGCTCCTTTTTTTCCATCACATTACAAATTCCTCCATTATTAAATCTGAATTACTATCTACAATAAAACGTTAATTAAATCTGCAACATTATGGTCAGTTCTGATTAAGCAGAAATAATTCTGCCTTGGTGAATTGAATCTGTTGTCCTCAAAGATTTCAGGGTTTAGACAAACCTGTAGGCTATCAATTGGAGATGACAGGAGGTCATAAAACTGAAAAGTAAATGTGGAGTCTAGTGCTGCTGGAATTTTTTATTTTCTTTGTTCTTTCTTTAAGTAAATATACAACGTAATGGATTTCAATACAGTGTCTTCAACAAACTTTTTTCTGCTGATCTTCTCCTCCCCTTCTCTTGCAGCTAATCTCCTCCTGTTCTCTCCCTTCCTCTTTCCTGAAATCCCCTTCCCTCCAGTCCCTCCCCTTTTCTCGAATCCCTTCCCCCTTCCTTCCCCTCCCCTTTCCTCTCATCTCCTTCCCTCCTCTTCCCCCTTCTCTTTCCTCTGTTCCTGTTGTTACCCTTTCTAGGCCTGGTAGCCTCCATTTTACTTTCATGTCACATGTAGTCTACTGCTTTCTTTCTCTCCCTCTCCCCTCCTTTAGGACCTCTTTCCCCCTCTAATGGTCCCTTTTCTGTAAGACTTTTTTTTTCCTGGTGGTTATTCATAGTAAATCTAGTTCTAATCATCAAGGTTTGATTGGATGACTTACCCTCTTCAGTAGCCTCTAGACCTTCTACACTGCTGAACACTTCACTTAGCGACTCAGCCATGGCAGAGTCACTAAAACAAAATCCAAAACAAAAAAGAAAAATGTCATCACTTGATATACAGGACACAACACAGTTACTTTATCCTGCTCCTTGTCCTTCAATTAGATTACTAAATTATTCAAGAAAAGACACACAGATGCAATTGCCACTAAGGAGAGGCATCCTCTCTAAAAATAAGAATAATTGCAATGGAGAAAAATGCCCAGAAGAGGTAAATATATGGACACAGATTATCACATAGAGCTAAGGGGAGGGGTGGAGTTGGGGAGTGATAGCTGAAGAATCACTGCGATACTAGCAGCCACCTTAACAAACATGGCAGCACACCCACCCCTCCCAATGGAGTCATTTTAATCATCTAGGGAGATAAGTTTATGTCTGAGCTTTAGAAGCCCATGGAAAAGGACTCTGTTACCCATAATGACAAGCCACATTAGACTAGCCTTGCCCTTGACTCATCAGCTCCAGCAGCAGGAGAACCACTAAAGAGAAAAATACAAAAGAGAAAAGGCAGAACAAAGAGAAAGGGCACCTTGGCACCCTTACAACTCATCATCACTAAGAACCAATTCATTTGAATCCTGGGCTTCAGAGAGTCTAGAATTCTTTCTTTCATACTTGCCTTATTTCCGGCAATTGATCTAAATGTCCTGAAGACTTTACCACCTGCAACCACTCAGCCTGGACTCTTAGTACAATGTCTCCCCTCCTCAACAAATCAGTCATCTCAGCAAAACACACCAGCATCACGTTTCTCACAAGTCTTTTTCTCTTACCTTCCCACCTCTGCATTTGTTAATGCAAATAAAAGAGTTGTCTATAATCACTCTTTTTAGGGGCTCACTTCAAAATCTCTTGCACTCTCTTTAGCCAGAGCTTCCAGCCCACCTGCTGTCATCCCTGCAGTAGAATTGTTCTGGCTAAAGCCAAACTTCCCACGAATCTCTCTGCCTCTCTTCGCTCTCTTTTATAACAATTTTATCAGTTTCTGTTCAGAACATCACCACCCCCCAATTTCCTCCTTTCTTATTGGCTGATTCTTTGCCCCCAATTTTCCTCTTTCTTTATTGGCTGATTTTTCTCCCCATATCCTCTGCCAGATCTTCCCTCTCACCCTGATTTTGAAACATATGACTCAGATCTTTGTCCTTGGCCCTCTTCTTTATCTACAATAATGTCCTAGCTCAGTGCCGTCCAATACAAATTTTAACAAGAACACAATTGCAAGCAACATGCACACTTTAAAATTTTCTAGTAACAACATTTTTTAAAAGGAATGACAGCAACCCCCTAAAACAGATGAAATTATTTTTAAGAATGTGTTTTCTCTTACCTAATTTAAACAAAATATTACTTCAACATGGAATCACTATAAAATAATATTAATGGTCTGTTTTATATCCTTGTCACACTTAGCTGTCACATCAGTCTTGTCAGACTGTTGATTTGCTTAAGCTTATTCACCAGCTCCCTGCTGCTTGAAAGATAAAATCCAAGCTCTTAACATTCAAGAGCGTTTTGGTGCTCCCTTGGTTTCTCAGCAGCCCACCTACAGGTACTCACATTCCCACTCTCTTGTCTCCTAGAATCATGAGCCAATCCCCAAACACACCATGTTCTTTTGATTTATCTATGCTGTTGACAGGATGTCCACTTGGCCTAGAACACGAAAGTCCACATCCTTAAATTCTCTCACATTCTTCAAGGCCAGCTCAAAGATAGCCATGCTCTTGGCCCTTTGCACATACTTCTGCCATAGCTGATATTATCCAAAAGACAGGGACCACATTTTGCTTATCTGAGTACCATTCTAAGTTAACAAGATACCAAGCACACAAGGTGCCCACTGCGTGTGGTTGGGAAAGATGGATGCAGAAGTAGACAGGACAGGGTATTAGACTGCAAATTCTGAGTTAGTAAGGAAAGTGGTCCTCTTGTTTAGACATATGGGGACAATTTGAGACATATTTTAAGTGAAGGACATCTCTGCATGTGGTCCTATGAGAAACTGGCAAGACAAGCAAGGATACTAAGAAGACATTTTTATGCAGTTCATAATAAGGGACCTTCAAAGACACATCCAAGAAATATAAACAGTCATGTAACAATGGTCACTAGCAAGTCCGGCCCAACAGAGATATCAAATTGCATTATCGATCCATTATTAAAACATATGCCAGACTGCAGTGTACCTTGGTAGGAAAGCACTTACCTAGCATGCATATGACCCTGGGTTTGATCCCAGCACCACAATTATACGAATGGGGATAAAATGCATGCTTGCTTCTGTAGGCCATCTCCAGAGCTTTTCATTCCTTATCAGTTTTCTTACTTAAGGGTTGAACAAACGCTCTAGAGGTAAAACAAGGAAAGGGAGCCCATCTTCCATGGTTATTGACATTGTTTAGCTGCAGCCTGATTTAGGTTCAAGCATTGAGAAAACTTTGTTTAAAAGCTTTGATGCCTTTCCAAATGAAGAATGCTATTGGAAAGCAGCTGACCTCAAGTTCTAAAAATCATTTAGTTAGATAAAATGCTTTTCATGGAGTCTGTGGTAGACAGAATTCTCAGATGGCTCTCAAGGTATTCAGCCTCCGGATACATGTCCCATAAATCCCCTCTCCTTGGGTGTGGGTAGGCCTAACTTAATCATGCGAATCATTTAAAAAGGGGTCCAGGCGTTAGCTACAGAAGTCAAAGATTTGAAGCTATACCAGATGCTCTCCTATTGGCACTGAAGGAACAAATTTTCATGTAGTAAAGAGCCACATAGAGAATGGCAGGCAATGTCTGATAGCTGAGCTCAACCCTTGGTTAAGAACCATCAAGAAGCCAGAGTCCTCATAGGCAGTCATGGTGGAGCAAGTCTGTAACTCAAGAGGTTGAGGAAGGAGGATTGCTTGAGCCCAAGAGTTTGAGGCTAGCCTCAGTACTAAGGCTTGAAGATGAAGTGTCCCCTCAAAGGCTCATGTGACCAGCTAGAGGAATGAATCATTGAGTGGTTATTGGACCCCAAGGGCTTTGACCTAATAAATGAATTAATCCATTGATGGATTTATAATCTGATGGTATTAAGTGAGAGGTGGTAGAAACTAGGAAGCAAGACCTGGATGAAGATTTTACTGGGAGCATGTGCTAAGAGTTCAGTTCCCACACTCCCCACCAGTTTTTACCTCTATCTCAAGCAGACCTTTTACTTTATTATTTATTTGTTGTGTTGTTGCTATTACTGTTTCCAATAGCCAATAATACATAAATTGGGAGATGGAGCAAAAATCTCCAAAAAGGGTAGAAGAGTAGAAGAGAAAAGAGTAGAAGAGAAAGAAGTAGATGCTTGCACATAGTGTGACTTGCACTTAGATTATTAAATTTCATGGGATTTGGCACAGATATTTCTTCTCTGCCCTTAGAATTCCAGAGGCACTGGGGAGAGGAAGAACCTGTAGCTACTCCCTGGCCCTCAGATAAAGAGGAGACACTGGTAGCACTCCCTGGCCCAAGGATAAAGAGGATGCATTCCCTGGGCCTGTGGATAAAGCCTTCGGAATAGATAAAGAAGCAATAGAGAGGATGAGAAAGCAGACTTCAACAATGTGCCTTCAGCCCACACTGGACCATCTATACCTTTGTTAAGATAACTTGTAACTTTTGGTTTCATCTCAAGACTTCAGTCCACAATGGAAGAAACAATCTTCATGTCACCCCCTGACTGTGACAGATAGCTTTGTTCTCTCAGTTCTGGGGTGAAATAGAGCCATCTCTGAGAGAACTTTATCTTAACAGAGACAGAATGGCCTAAGGAGAGGTGATGCTGTTATTCTCAAAGGGTGAATGCACACAGAAATAAAAATACCTCCTAGAAAATGAGAGCCCTAGGCTTTCTTAGAAAAGGAGATCACTGTGAGCCTTTTGGGCCTCAAATTTATGTACAGACAGACACTACTGTAACTGGGCAAACACATAGCTACTATCAGAAATATGGGAAAAATGATTTCATGGTGCGCTGGCCCCTCGTGCTTTCTTTTAGCCCATCCCTGACATTGCAGTCGCTCTATCTTGCCTTAAATACCCACTGTTAGATTTTCCCTTGAACCAGATAACCAAGTGAGAACATTATTCCTCAGAGCCTCTCTCCTTCGAACCCAGAGTCCGTGAATATATAATACGTCCTCAAATCAGTTTTTGATACTGTGGAGGCAATGACAAAATAAAAAAAGTAAGCATTTACTGGACACTGAACATGTGCTGGCACTGAAGTTTTCTTTTTTTCCAAAAGTCTTCTCACATAATCCTCACAGCATTCCTGTGAAGTAGATATTATTTATTCTCACCCCTCCTCCATGAGGACAAGGAAGCTGAAAGGCTATGTAACTGTCCAGATTCACATGGTAAGTATATGACACATTCAACTTATGAAGGTAGAATTTGAACCAAGGACTTCAGAGCCCAGGAGTGCTGCATAAAATGATGTACTCTCTAACGACAGAAAGAAAGCACATGAAAACAAGGCTTAGTGGCACATGCCTGTGGTCGCAAGAAGGGGTAGAGACAGAAGGATTGTGAGTTCGAGGCTACCCTAAGCTACATAGTTTCAGAACAGTCAAGGCTGTATCGTGATATCTTGTCTCAAGGAATCCCCCCCCCCGGAAAAAAGAATAGGAAGGAGGGAGAGGGAAGAGAATATATTATGAATCAGAAGGCCTAGGTCTTGATTCTGCCTTTTGAACAAATTATCTTTATAGCCTTGCCCAGTTTATAATCCCCTCTGCTGGCCTCAATTCTTATTTGTAAAATTAGGAACTGAGACATTATCATTTATTTATTATTTTTTAAGTTAATATACAAAGTACGTTCCTCATGACACTTTCATACATACATACATACATACATACATACATACATACATGTAATATTGCTTACAGTCACATCTCATTGCTTTCCCCATTTATCTCTCTGACTGGTCTGATGCCCCCCAAAGTAGTTCCCCTCTTGCTCTCATG